TAAGATCTTTTCGATCAAAAAACTGATTATCAATGCTTTCATGAGGAATGTTTTGTTTGAAAAGGGGGAAATGATGTTTTGTCTCCACAAGCAGTTCTCTAAAAGTATTTACAGCCTTGAAGGGGGGCTCATGACTTGGATAAGACAACCTGTTCCTGAACAAAGGATTCATGTAAGTTCTTAAAATTGTTAATGTACCAATTAATGTATAGCTTACTAACTCTAAGTAAGCCACCTGTTGTCAATCAACTGTTAAGACAATAGATAAAGGAATTCCCTTTGTCCCTCTGCCACTCCAGCTGGGTACCAAAAGCAATGTCCTCCATCATGTCAAATAGTTCCATTCCAAAGTAACTCTTTCAATGCCCTGACTCACATCTAAGCAGTAAGATGAGCTGTCTTCCCATTCCATAGAAATGAAACGAACTATTGACAGTGGGAAGTCATTGGGGTGAGCAGGACTGAAGCCATGTTGTGACCTAAAACCACAAGGGCCTGTAGGCAAATTTTAAAAGGAAAGAGTTTGTTCTTGGCATGCATTTCTCTGAGTTTCCTCTTTTCCCATGGTTATTTGATATTTTGAACCTTGGTTATGGGGCAAGATGACATTATTTACATAAATGTAAAGTTATTTTCCAGTGAGCCAGGAGCTTCAGACTTACACATACTATCTAAGGGAAACCAAGGAAGACATTAATAAAGCTAAGCTGATTCAACTCCTCTAGCAGGACCATGAGATAACAGCAAGGACAACAGCAGAAACCAGACAGAGTCTTGGAGAGACTTTGCACCTGAGACCTTGCATAAAGCCCTCGCTGCTCATGTTCCCCTCCCTCCTGCTTTTCATTTCCCACATTCCATTCCCTCAGCCCCCTCTTTAAAAACCCCTCAGTAAATCTGAGTCTTTGAGATGGCTTTAGCCTGGCCATTCTCTTTCAGGTTTACTGGAGGAATGGGTTAGCCTAGCATGTCTCCTCAGGTCACTGGTATTCCTGAATAAAAACTGACTTCCATTTCCACCAACATTTGACTTTTGAGTGGTTTGCTTTTGTCTGGGGGCAGGCAGCTGGACCTGTGGGTTTGATAGCAAATTTTGGGGAGCCTCAGCCAGGAGCTGAGTGTGCCCTGTAACAGCACATATCAAGAAATCTGGCCTGAGGGCCGGCCCAGTGGCGCACTGCTACAGTGCGCCGTTTGGGAGCGTGGCGGCACTCCCGCCGAGGGTTCAGATCCCACATACAGACCGGTTCCCGCTCACTGGCTGAGCGAGGTGCGGGCGCGACACTGAGGGTTGCGATCCATTGCCGGACACGAAAAAAGACAAAAAGGAAAAAAAAAAAAAAAAAGAAATCTGGCCTGATCCAACTTTATTGGATCAACCATTATCCCACACCCTTAATATCCATTCCCACACGTTCCCCAGATTTCTGCTTGTATAAACTAGAAATGGGCTTGGCCGGTTAGCTCAGTTGGTTAGAGCACAGCCTTATAACAGCAAGGTCACAGGTTCAGATTTCTGAACAAGCAAGCTGTGCGCCACCCCCCTCCCTCCCCAGCAACCCCCCCCCCAAAAAAAAACCTGAACCATAAACTAAAAAACTCAGCACCAAGGTCAAAGGTTCTGATCCCCTTACTGGCCAGCCATAAACAAACAAACAAACAAACTCAAGTCACTCTTTAGGAGTGCAGTGTACTTCCTCACGGTCACTTTGTATCTCACCCTTAGGGGCCTACTGGGACTTGAATCTAGTTATAAGTCTAGAAGCAAAGAGAGGTGGTGGGGGTGGATCCTGAGGAGAATCAGAATTATCTTGCCTGACAACTGCTTTCGGGGAAGCCATTAGTGTCTCCTCAGGCAATGCAGAATTAACCCCCTCACATAGAGGTGGAAAGACTTAAACCACTCTGGGAAGGGAGACTGCTACCACCAGGGTGGGATTGTCTATTCCACTAAGTGGTGTAAGGCCACTTTTGCTAGGTTTGGGAAGATCTCTACCACTGGCACAGATGACTCATTAGAGCTTAGGTTCTCAATGTCTCCAGCTTCATCAGGGTCTTCCCACACATCCCCATCCCAACTTGTAGCATCTTATTCTTAATCAATGCCCTCACTTTAACAGTGGACTTCCTGTGAGGCTTGGAGTTAACTTGCATTGTAATTCAGCCAGTTTAAGGATGAGGTTTTGAGTATGATTTTCAGCAATTTCAGCTCTGTGGCTATCGGAGATAAGACTCTCTTTCAGGGCACACCTAGAAGCTTTTAGGTCATTTATGCAGCTCGTGAGCTGGAAATTCAAACCCCAGAGCTCATCCTTTTCTTTCACCACTTCATCCAGCTACAATAGGTACAAACAACCAATGGCATTATATTCCTTAGTTTTCCAAAAATATTCAGAAGTATCATAAACAGAATCACTGTCCTTGCTTCTTATAAGTAGTTGATTAGGAGTATCCAATGCAAGGGCCGGCCCATGGCTCACTTGGGAGAGTGTGGTGCTGGTAACAGCAAGGTCACAGGTTCGGATCCCTATATAGGGATGGCTGGTTAGCTCACTTGGGAGAGTGTGGTGCTGACAACACCAAGTCAAGGGTTAAGATCCCCTTACTGGTCATCTTTTAAGAAAAAAAGAACAGAAAAAAGGAGTATCCAATGCAGATATTTTGCATAACTCTATAACAGTTCATGCCACGAATGCGCAGTGCTCTCTGTGCTATTGGAAATAGAGTCATTACCATCTTTATAGCTAATCAAATTAGAGAGACAACTCCAGAAACCTCAGAACCAATTCAGAAAATTCATCCTTAAAATTGTTCCTCCAGACGCATTCTCAGTGCCATTCACATTACATATACATAAAATGAAAATTGGCTCACATTACTATGGAGGCTGAGAAGTCTCATGATCTGCCTTCTGCAGCTGGAGAAACAAGAAACCCAGTAGTGTACAATAGTCCTCCTCTTATCTTTGGAAGACAACATTCCAAGATTCCCAGCAGATGCCTGAAAATGCAGACAGTACTGGATACTATATACACTATGTTTTTTCCTATACATACATATCTATGATAAAGTTTAATTTATAAATTAGGCACAGTAAATAACAATAATAATAATGAGATAGAACAATTATAACAATATACTGTGCTATAATAAAATTTATGTCAAAATATTTCATTGTACTGTACTCACTGTTCCTGTGATGCTGTGAGACAATAAAATGACTACATGATGAAATGAGGTGAGGTGACTGATGTAAATAAAAAATTCCAGAAATAAACAATTCAAAAGTTTTTTTTTTTTTTTTTTGTCTTTTTTCCGTGTCCGGCAACGGATCGCAACCCTCAGTGTTGCCCCCGTACCGGACCGGGACCGGCAACAGGATCGCAGCCCTTGGTGTTGCTCCTGCGCCTCGCTCAGCCAGTGAGCGGGAACCGGTCTGTATGTGGGATCCGAACCCTCGGTGGGAGCGCCGCCGCGCTTCCCAAGCGGCGCACTGTAGCAGTGCGCCACCGGGCCGGCCCACAATTCAAAAGTTTTAAATCGAGCACCATTCTCAATAGCATGATAAAATCTCACACTGTCCTGCTCTATCTCACCCCGATGGCTGGCTGTTAGTCACTTAGTAGCCATCTATCAGATTTACTGTAGCAGTACTGCAGTGCTTGTGTTTAAGTAATCCTTATTTTACTTTAATAGCAGCTCACGGTTGACCAGGTGACCGTGGGTAACTGAAATTGTAGAAAGCAAAACTATGGATATCATAATGGGAACTACTGTAATTCAGTCCAAGTCTGAAGGCCTAAGGGCAGGAAAAGATGGATGTCCCAGTTCTAGCAGAATGAATTCATCCTTCTGCCTTTTTGTCGAGTCAGGCACTCTATGGATTGGATACTGACTGCCCATATTGAGGAATGTGATTTTCTTTACTCAGTCTACTGATTCAAATGCTGATCTCTTTCAGAAACACCCACACAGACACACCCAGAAATAATGTTTTACCAGCTATCTGGGCATCCCTTAGCCTGGTCAACTTAACGCATAAAATTAATCATCACAGAAGGATTCTACACAGCGTTAGGGAGAGCATGAACCTGCCAACACCTCAGTTTCAGACTTCTATCCTCCAGAAGTGAGAGACAATAAATTTCTGTTGTATTTCTTTCTTGCCTTTTCTTTCTTTCTTTCTTTCTTTTTTGGTGGCTGGCCAGTATGGGGATATTCCTATTTTTTTAAGCTACCTAGTTTGAGGTTCTTTGTTACAGCAGCCCTGAGAAATAAATACACCATCCTTGTTATCTGTATGAAAAGATATTACAGATTTATTTTATATTAGGTTGGGCAATAATTGGCAATTTCATTTTGTTTAAACTAATATTTTTCTTATCCCAGTCCTGGAGTCAGGAATATCTCCAAAAAGCTGTGATGCCTGTAGGTGGAAAATGGTATTTTGAGATCATAATCTGGAAGCAAGAAGTGCTCACAGATATGAGGTTGGTCACTGTTTTCAGGCTTTTCTGGATATATGTGTATTTTATAAAATAAAGCATTGAGTTTGAAGGGTTTTGTTGTTGTTTTAAAGAAAATAGTGTGGCCTTGTAACACCAAGGTCAATGGTTCAGTTCCCTCTGTGATGACAGCTGCAAAAAAAAAAAAAAAAAAAAAAAAAAAAAAAAATTTCCCC